TACAGCTATAGTTACTTTAGATATAAAATTAATCTGTTGCAGTTACTTTTTTTTGCTAAAATATATTGGTTAATATTGCGGTCTCAGATATTATTACATCAGACTAGTACAGATAAAAAAAATCAAAATATCGATATAATATAAACTTTTATCATATAGGTCTTATGTAACAACTCGTACTTTTTCTGAAAGCTTATTCATACCAGTCTATATGAAAATCATGTGACAAAATATTTTCATATAGACTGGTGTTATTTTTTTTTATACTGATGTTGTATTATAGCAAAAACCGAATTCGGTCTTTGCTAAACTATATACATATTAAATGAATAGTTAGGGCAATTCAAAATTGTAATAACTAGACAAAGACATAAAATAGGCTGGGCAATTTACAATTGTAATAGACTAGGCGAAGATATAAAATAGGCCGGGCAATTCAAAATTGTAATAAACTGGGCGAAGACATAAAATAGGCCAGGCAATTCAAAATTGTAATAAACTGGGCAAAGACATAAAATAGGCCAGGCAATTTAAAATTGTAATAAACTAGGCAAAGATATAAAATAGGCCAGGTAATTTAAAATTGTAATAAACTAGGCGAAGACATAAAATAAGCCGAGCAATTTAAAATTGTAATAAACTGGGCGAAGACATAAAATAAGTCGAGCAATTTAAAATTGTAATAAACTAGGCGAAGACATAAAATAGGCCAGGCACTTTAAAATTGTAATAAACTGGAGATATTTTTTTATAATTTATTAAATTGATATTTATTTATATAAAAATAGCATACAGAATTTAATAAAATTTACATTTTAAATAATGCAAATAAAAAAAGGCAATTAATTATTGAAAGAAATATTCAAATTAATATCAAGTGGCTTCTTAGTAGCAGGAATTTGAATAATAATATTATTCGTCACTTCTTCTAATGCCTTTTGCTCTTTATTATTTTTTGCTGTCTGTACTAGTGTCTTTTGCTTCTTATTAATTCCTGCTGTTTGTACCAGTGCTTGATCATCATCATCATGAATTTCAATTACTTCATTATAATTATTATTCTTTCATAATGTTTTCTGAGATTTGTAAGAAGGTTGTATCTTCTTAGCTTGCAATCTTTCTTGGAGTTAGTAGGATGTTTCTTGGAATTGGTAGGAAAGCTGTGCTTTCTTTACTTGCATTTTTTCTCAGAGTTAGTTAGGAAGAAGTTTTGCTTTTTTATAATTTATCATGAGACTTTTAAATGGTCACATAAGTCTTTGATTTATGTTTGAGATTGCATTGTTTTTTTTGTTTATAATATTATCTAAAAAAAAAATTAAAAAAATAAGTAAGAGGTCTGGCGATCTTAGTATAGTGGTTAGGTTGCCAGACCGTCATGCAAGAGGTCTGAGATTCAAATCCCACTGTCGACGAATTTGAATAATTACCTGAACCTTTGTATCCAACTTACGGTAAACCCTGTCCGTTTCTGGAGTTGTAACCCTGTAAATCACGTTGCACTAATATCATCCAGATATTGGAAGTGTGACGGGGCGTTTGGTGAGACATAACGTTACACGAATAAATCTTGATAGGATCTATGGGCAAGGGACCTGTATGATAGAAATCCTGAGTAGGTGAAGTAGTACGGCTTTCAACAGTCACACTAGTCAACGCTTGATCCAGAAAGGAAACTATGATCAAAAGATGCAGATCGAGTCGGGTGCGCATAAATCC